AAATTGACTTCCGGTAATGCATTTCTACGAAAAAAAGCGAGTGCATTTCCTCCCTGCGCTCGGTTATAAGAGCAAATATCACGAATTATTCGTACCTACTAGGCACATTGGAGCATTTCCCAGACACGCAGATGAAATAATTGGTCAGTTACGGCGTTTTTATTTCAAATTCGTGGCATGAAAAACAGTGCTAAAACCGCTTCGTACGTGTATTTATGTGCACTATCGGACACTGTTAGCGCGAACACGGCGTCGGCGCTTTCCAGCATGGGGGTATACGTGCCAAACGAGCGAAGGACATGTGGAAAACCAAGAGAGACGGCAAGAACTACGCAGTATAACACTGGATCAGTAACTCCTTGTGCTTGCAGACGATCAAAATAAATTGAAAGTCGCGTAATATACTCCGATTTGCAATAAATAAGTACTACTTTATTCTTTCTGCTCATGTTAGCTGTGTTCAAATCATCACCTGCACGCTCCAAATCTTTGTAAATAGGGGGAAGCCAGAGAACAGGTGCGCGATAAAAACTACCCAACATAGGAAATAATCAGAAAATGCCCCTTTCGTAGCCCACGTACTTTATTCTTTACGTTTCCAAAGTTTTTTTTAACCACTCGTAAAGACGCACGACGGGGGCATTTTTCATATAGTGAGAGGACAGGCATATTAGCAATATGTAAGCACCAACGGAATGCTGGCGAACTTTGAACACACTCTACATTCCTTTCGATTGTTATTTTGCTTGGAATCGTCGCTCGTTTCTACATACCTGCCATCAAACGGAGGTTTGGGCCTGAAATATAGCGAAGTTTAACATCGTTCAGTGGTAAAGGGAAAATGCTGTAACTAAAGAAATTACACTTTCACAATATTAATAAAGGTACATACTACCCGGTACAACCGAAATAACAAAAGTTATTCATGTTATTTTCCGGCGACAAGACAATATTCACGCGCGTTTTCCCATAGGAATACACCGGAAGACTGGAAAAGTAGACTGCATGCTGTCTGCTTCAATTTGCAATCGGAAGTCCTGTAGACACTAGCGCCAGCTGAGCCTCTAGCGTTTATTATAATAACTCTATGGGCTGAACGTTTTAATTAAAGAGATTGTATAAATTTTTAAACAAATCTGAAAGAAAAAATATCCCGTATATATATATATATATGTGTGTGTGTCCCTGTGTGTGCAAGACACAGAACTTTGCTAAATTCTAAGCATGCTGATCGCGACAGACGTTTTATGCCGTTCCCCGTAATTTTAAGGCAGCGCGATGATACTTGTAGGAATATTCAACTTTGCGTTTTTTTTTGTTGATTATTTCAGTGTTTGTGATCTTTATAACGATATATTGCATTTCTTCAAATGGTCCATTCCCTTATGCAGTTCCCCGCTTAAAGTCTCCATGATAACGGCTGATGTTTATCATCCACCTTTTATCGTTACTTTATGCGGTTTGTTGAAAGCTACAGCTTGTCATATGCATATCTATTTCTCCTTTAGCAACGGTGATTATTTCGGCCTCTAAGTTTGATCAAGATTATTACCAATCGCCCATTTTAATGGATTCGTCTGTAGATAGAGCGGCGAAATCGTTTACTGCAGTAGTAAAACAAGGAACCTACAGAATTATTCAAAAGCGAGGATAAGAAAGCCGGAAAGTATCCTTCATGGTATTCTAAAGATATGATTTACTATATGCACAAAAAAGCGCACTGTCACAAACTGTATAAACGAATGGGATCGCAATTCGGGTACGCTAAGTATATATCTATCCTGCTCTTGTGAAAACGTTGTTTAAACATGATGAGCGTGTACATTAAGAAGCAGTGGACGGTACCTTGTAATAACCAGATAAATTTTGGAAATTAGCTGGACTGCACAAAAGAGATAGTGTACCGGGTATCTGCTTAAGAAATGACTCGGAATATTTTTCTAACCGGAAGGATGTGGCAAACTTGTCTTCAGAGGCCACTTTCGTGGCTGTTATTCTTCAGCCACGCCTAAATATATTAAATTTGGTGATGATTCTGTCGCACCTGACATCTTTACATTATATAGAGTGTGGGTCGCTACCTGATCGACGCCCGATCGGGACGTGCCTCGCTCACTCCCCAAGAAGTCACCCACGCAGTGCGTGTTCAAAAGAGTTTACTCAAACTCACGTCGTCTGCGAGCCGCTCGTCGCTGTCGTCCCAATGACCTCCCTGACCGGTCCCTTTCGAAGTCGGCAGCCCAAGACCCCTTCCTTTGTCTCCGTTCTCCTTTTAAGACCTTCCCAAGTCCTTGTCCCGCCGACCGTCCAATCGGGAACCTTGCTGCGACCGACCCTCCGACGTCAGCGCTGGGTGAGAGGGCGCTTGCCCCATTCCTCCCGGAGAGCTCGGACGTTCCGCGACAGGACGGCGACGGAAAACGGGAAGGTCACGGGGAACGAAGGAGCGCCCGGCAGCACGGCGGCAGGGACCGGCGAGGTCACGGAGCGCGGAGGAGCCAGGGAGAGGGTCCCCACAAGAGTCACTGTTAGCGAAATCAGGGAGGCTCTAAATAAGTTAAAGCTGAAATCGACATCGGGAAACATGTTGTTCTTCACTTTATCGTCAAGGGTTGCTCAAATGTATTCGCACCCATCCTTGAGTATATATATGATATTTCATTATCTAAGGGTATATTTTCATCGATGTGGAAAGAGTCCGTTTTTGTTTCTATTTATAAGGCGGGAGATGCTTGAAACGTTGGTAACTACCGCCCCGTATCCTTGTTTCTCTAACGTTTTTTTTAATACTTGTGCATAAACGTGCTTATTTTTACTTAGAACAATGGATTACTGTCGGTCAGCTTGGGTTATTAAGGGACGTTCAGCTGAGACCAATCTTTGTAACTTTCTTGACTATTTGGTACCTTATGTTTGCAATCCAGGTCAAGTTGATGCTCTTTATCTTGACCTTTCGAAAGCGTTCGATAAGGTGAATTATACCTTGCTATTGATTAAGTTGTCACAAATACGGATTTCCCATATTTTCTTAAGGTGGTTTGAAAGCTACTTGACCGATCGTCGCCGTATGGTGCGTATTTTACACTCGACATCTGGTCTTTTTTTCCGTGGTCAGGAGTACCACAAGGCTCTAATCTGGAGCCACAACTCTTTTTGGGTTTTGTCGATGATACAGCCACTTGTGCCGTCAATTCAAGGGGGTTGTTATCCGCTGATCATATCAAGCGCTTTATCAGTAACAGCTCTATTGATAATTGCTAACTTCTACAAAGCGATGCCTTACGTATTCTAACCTGGTGCTCGGAAAATTGCTTGGTGATTTATCCTTGTAAAACGAAGGTCTTGTCTTTCAGTTAAAAACGCGAAATTGTGCCTTATGTAGCAGGGCACAAGCTGTGTCATGCTAGTGAAAGAGCTCACCCAATCATGTACCGTAGAACGTCCTACGTCACACCGTTCCTCGCCTTGATAAAGGCGCACTTCGTAACAATAAACATTATTCATCACCCGACTGGCGGCCCGCTTACATGGTGGCAGCGGTGGGAAACAAGGCGAACTCACGTTTCCAATTTTTCCATCCGAGCCATGCGTCGCCTGAGGTGTCCAGGGGCTTCGGTGGCGGCAGCAGCGTTGACGGCAATAGGGGCATCGGCGGCGTTGACGGTTTCGACATCTCGACTGGGCACCGCTGCTTCCTTTAAAGAGGGGAGATGTAGCAGGGCACAAGCTGTGTCATGCTAGTGAAAGAGCTCACCCAATCATGTACCGTAGAACGTCCTACGTCACACCGTTCCTCGCCTTGATAAAGGCGCACTTCGTAACAATAAACATTATTCATCACCCGACTGGCGGCCCGCTTACACCTTATACATATTATCTTGATGGCAAGTGCATTGCACGAGGTTCAATGCTCTGTGAACTCAAAGTGTGCTTTGATAGTTCTTTTTCGTTTAGTTCTCATGTCACTGATATGGTCGATTCTGCAGTTCGAATGTCAGGAATGATTAATCGTTTAACTAGAAATTTAGCGAGTCATGCTTGCTTACTTCGTTTTTTTTCTCTTTTATCAGCTCAAGATTAGAGTTTGGCTCAATTGTTTCGAATTCACTTAGTGCATGCGATTCAGCGAAACTCGAATATGGTCAGCGGCGCCTTGTCCGTATATTTTGGGACAGATACTTGGGCAGAAGGCTTTTCTATAGTTATGAAGTTCTTTTTGCTAAATTCGGTCTGCAAGGTCTGTCGGCCAGAAGGCTGTATCGCGACACATTATTTTTGCACAAAATACTTCGCAGCGACATTGACTCTAAGCTTGTGTGCACTGTGAATTCAAAAGTACCCGCTCGTTCTAATAGGACTGCTCTTACTTTTTACCTTCACGATCAATAATGCAGACAACTGTGAATAGTTTTAGTCATGGGGTCCGAGACATTTCTGACAAATCCGTGAGTTTGAAAAGAAGCTTGCACGATATGGTTCTTTACCTTTAGTTGTGCATTTTTACTTCTTGCCGCATATAAGTGCACTGTCTCTAGTATATTCGTCACTTGTATTCGAGCATGTTTTTTATATGTATTACTTTTTAATATGCCACAGTACAGACATGTACTGGTTGCTTATGGGCACACCTTAAATACACTATGATTATGATTTATAGCTGCCTCACGATTGCCTCATATGTATCCCGGAAATTTTCAGATGACGTTATTCTGTTTGTAGATATAAGCGTGATATTAAACATTCCAAGCCGAAGCGTGGTCAAAAATAAGCAACGACTTGCGTTTTCTATGTTGCACGCCTCGTCCAGGTATAGTGTCGCCCGGACTCACAGAAACTAACGTGTTTCTGTGAGTCCGGCTAGTAGATAACTTTCTTCCTTTGATGCGCATCAGCGAGAGTTTATATTATAAAGAAACTCACCACTTCTCGAATTACGCGTATAACATACTTCTGATATAAATGTCTTTCTTCCTTTTTTTTCTCCTTTTTCAATCTTGCAGGTGCGCGGGACAGCCATGCTGCGCGATCTCCACAGGGTGCTGGCCACCATCGTTGCGTTCCTCTTCATTTCCATGATGGGAGTCGCCTACCGTTACAGGTGAACGAACACAGAACCTGCGAGGCAGAGCTGCATAACTTATAGAAAAGGGACACTAAAAGTGGTTTCTGAGATCGTCTATGTATCGTCCTAACTTATTTTAATCTACAGCCTCTAAGCATACATAAAAAACACAAGATTAGACTATTTATGCGTTCAATTTTCCTATTAAAACGGGAGCAAAGATCCCGACGCGCACATTATTAACGATACAGCGCAAAAACCAGAGGGCACAGCCAGAGGGCGCCGTCGGACGTGTGACATCACATCGCGAGCGATTGCGTCCGGGGTCGAGGAGGTGCCACCGGTATCATTCGGCCGTCGCTCAGTCGTTTCAGCTTACTTTGTCCATGACTGTGGGGAAAGTAAAAGTGAGGTGAATGAGCTTGATTCCAAAGCACTATACTGCAGTTAGCAAGTCTGCAAAATCATCCTGAGTATAGCATTCTTGTACGCGTTTAAACGGGTAGGACTGCAGAAGCTCTAGACACGCGATCAAACACAAAGTTGGAGCCACAGGCTCCCGGAGCGCGCCGATTGTATACTTCGGCATCAAAAGTGCGCCGGCGTCGTGCGCGAGAGTGCAGTCGGCGCCCCACTTAACTTTGGCCCCAACTTTGTGTTCGACGAGTCTAGAGCCTCAGGCAGCCAAGTCATAATACCATGTCAGCCTGTGAAGCCGTTTCCGTTAGCGTTCTTTGTTCCTCACAGCACGTACGCATGCGCAGCGCGGCGCGCGCAACGCTAACGCAAGCGAACAGCGCTTGCGTTTGCTCCCATACGCAACACTACAAATATCTATTGCATTTTGTTACCCTAGCGAGTAATCAGAATTGTTCTCTACGTTTTCTATTTCTACAGGTATCCTATGCAGGGTTCCAGTTTACAACATCCTGAATCTCTGGCGGCATGCAGACCAAAGACAGACATCGTGTTCCTCAAGACCCACAAGTGCGCCAGCTCCACGCTGATGAACATCTTTCTCCGTTACGGCATGAAGCACGACCTCAACTTCGTCTTGCCCAAGAGCACCTTCACTCACTACATCGGGCATCCAACCCCTTTTCGTCGATCCTTCATCGATGACATCACCAAGTACAACATGTCTTTCAACATACTCACGCACCATACTCGTTACGACGGCAACGAAATGCGGAAAGTCATGCCGCGCGACACCGTGTACGTGACGATCCTCAGGAGACCCGACAGCCTCTTCGAGTCCCTGTACTCTTACTGCCACCTGGCGAACTTGTACAAGAAAAATCTCAGCGCGTTTGTGGAGGACAAGAAGCTAACGCGTGCCCTTACGAGAAAGCGAGCTGTAGAGGGACGTGTGGGCTTCAACCAGATGTGTTTCGATCTCGGCTATACCGGCCTGTTGAAGTCCAATCCTAAACTAATAGTAAACTTTGTCAACACAATCGATAAAGCGTTTGATCTGGTGATGATGACTGAACGGCTGGACGAGTCACTCATCCTCCTGAAGCATCTGCTCTGTTGGAACACGTCGGACGTCGTGGCTTTCAAGATCAACGCTCGGTACGCCGAATACAAGGAGGCCCTTTCGCCAGAGGTCAAACAGAAGCTGAAGGAGCTGAACCACGCCGACCTGTTGCTCTATCGTCATTTTGAGAATGTGTTTGAACGAAAAGTGCGGGAGTTCGGTGTGGATCGGATGGCCACGGAGGTGCAAGAGCTGCAGCTGGCGCGGAAGGCGTACTACGCCAAATGCGTCGAGGCGGAAGGTTCCATGGAAGCCATGTCGGCTCAGCTCAAGCGGAAAGATGTTATAGCGTTCAAGTTGAAAAACAAGAGTGAGGAATGTCTTCACCTAACCATGAGTGAACTCGACTTCCATGAGCTGGTGAAAGAGAAACAGAATGCTAGAATTAGTCAGGTTCTACATTCCCGAATATCTCGGTAGGGACTTTCAGAAAACTGTTGAAGTGCCAGCTCGTCGAGAGTACCACAGCGAAAGGACCACTCTTTAAGTTATTAAGCCCAAGGACGGGGGCAAAGTGAATGGAGGAGCGAATGTGTGTACAGTTAATTTAGAAGCAGTTTTTAGTTTTTATATTTAGTTCAGTTTCTGTATCCTGCTCACAACTGCACCCAGAGTCTTACAAAAAAGAAAAGGCGAATGTATTTGTATAGGTAAACGAACTATTGTTGAAGGTTCCGGCTTCGGGCACACCATAGATAGCAAGATTGAGTGCTGGTTGTGTTAAAACGCCAGTGACGGAACTACGTCACTATTTTAGAGCAATTTACAACTCTATCTCAGCACGTTCAATACTGGACCTGGTATTTTCAAATGATGAAAAAAGAAAATCATTTTCTGAATGATCTGCTTTTTGTGGTGCATCACCACGTCGTTACGGAATGTTAGTGTTGCGCGAATATTCAAAATTTCGAATACCATCAAATAATACACTTTTAGATATTCGCTTCAAGAAGAAATGTGATATTCATGTTTGTCAAAGTTTTGACCGCGGCAAGTTAGGTCCCGTTGAGGGCGCTTCTTTCCGAACACAGGTGCACTGCAAAGAAGCAACAGCCGGAGACGCGGGATCTGCTGGTGTTGCTTTTCCGCAGTGCATCGGTGCTGGGTTAAAAGCTCACTTAACGGGGTAACCCGCAGCAATAAACACTTGGTATTGTATCGTATTGTAAGCGTTAAAATACATTTAAAACCAAGGAAAAAAGGAAGAGAATGAAAACCGGAACACTGTGGCCACTCGTTCTAATGGGGGCGTGCCAGTTTTAATCTAAGCAAAATGAAAAAAAAAGGAAGAGGAAAAGGTTTGATCAATTAAGAGATCTACAAATCAAAAAGATAGTCAGCGACACCTAGTCCAGCACTGTCATGTCTGCTGCCTCAATGGCAGCAAGCCATGCTACCTGTCACAGTCTTTGCGCCAAGTTGCGCACGCCGTACTGGAAACTGGAAAGAATATCAAGCATTAGAAGGGTACTCTGCCGATTTTCTGAGCTACCCCCACTAACTACATTTTCGGAATCACTGGCCTTTACTCTTTCCGGCATAGTATTTAGTATCGCGAAATTAAAAATATTGATTGTAAAATAGGCAAGTGAAAATGATGACAAAACCAACATTCGAATATACCCGCTCTTTTTAGTGCTTTGACGTCAAGGGAAAGCAGGCTAGCAGGTCGAGTGAGCAGTTTAAAATGGGCTACGCCGAGCATTTGTTTCGCGCTGCTACGCAGGTGCTGGAGCGAGTTTTCATAGCGTTCAACCTGGTAGCTGAGTTTGAGACGTCATCCTGCCCTCTTCTGTCCCTTCGACTTATGTCTTCATTTCTGCCCCAGTCTCAGGTTTATTCAACATGGCTAACATTCACCAGCTCGCCTGTACCCTTACTATAATATCTCTAACCGTTAAACTGCTTGTAATCAGTTAGGAGCGACGTCTACACTCTAAAGAGTAAACTCTGCCTTCCCTTTTTTATTGTTGCCGTAGAGAGTTTCACTTAAAAAAAAAAAAAAAAAAAAACACGGTGAGAAAAAAGTTGAAAATTCAAAAACTTCACAAAAAAATTCATTTTGGCCCAATATTTGGGTTCCTATTTCAGTGATGTTTGTTTGAGTGTTCAGCAAACTTTTAGGAAAATCGTGTACTACGAAGGTAAGCCACCAGCCAGATCGGTGTCTTCTAGGAATGTCAGGAGCAGCGCTAATATTTTTGTAGCAATGCCCCTGAGACCTGGCGGGAAAAGCAGGTGTGAAAGACTCTGTCTTGCTGCGCCTATTTGACGAAGTTCAAGGTGGAGTCTAGAACGCTGAGCGTCTAAAGTAGGGCAGTCACAAATGTTCTATATCGTCGGGAACTTTGCATATCTGAGAGTGTGGGCTGTCCATGCATATGATGCCGTAAAGCCAAGAGGCTTTAAAAGCTGAGCAGGTCCTGAGTCGGCGAAGAAGGGCTGCTTCTGGGCGACCGAGATTGGTGAGAACCGGTGGTGGTGGGGTTCCTCCGGCTACGCCTTGGTGCGGGTGTCTTTTTTTTGCGTCTCGTGTACAATGAGAAGCCTGGCCTCATTGATCTTCGGCACGTGGAGAGTGCTGTTGGTGAGTTCATGTGCCTGAGCTGCTATTCGGTCAGCTTTTTCATTGCCGTCGATTCCACAAAAAGATGGCAGGCACTGGAATGCTACAATCCAGCCTTTATTCTCTAAGGATTCGACTTTGAAAGCGATGATGTGAGGTGCGTCTTTCAGATTGCTGAGAATTTGCATTGCCGCTCTGGAATCAGTGAGCACAACCGCCCTTGGTGGGCTTGAAGGTCATGAAGGGTTTCGAGAGCAAGTTTTGCGATGGTGATGATAGATCAACACTTCAAAAGGATTGAATATTGAAATATAGTGCTTGTGAGAAAACCACACCCAAGCAGGATGGTTTCCGCGTGCACCTGGAACCCTAAGGTCGTCAAACAGATTTGGAGGCGATAGTTCGCGAAGCACGCCGATTGGACTTGGGCGTGTGGGAACCAGAACTAAGGTTTCACACATAAATATATTTACAAGTATTTACAAGCGGAAAGAGACTGGAGTTCTCATCGCCCGATGCCGCCACCGAGCCGTTCCGTTAGGGTCTCGAAAAACATCTGTCGCGCGTGTCTCGAGCTCAGCGCTTGCGCTTGCCGACCTCTTCGTCGTCTCTGTGGCACAACAACCACCGGCGAAAGAGAGCGCTGTGTCATCGTCACGCGAGACCAAGCGGGGCGCACCGCAAACTTCGGCCCCAACTTTGTGTTTGACGAGTTTAGGGCCCCTGGTGTATTTAAAAATTAACGAAAACTTTGTGAATGTTGATATCTACATTGGAGTAAAATTTCTAAAATGAAACAAGCTGTTCTGCAAGGGTATAAGGCTGAGGTGCCTTGACAACCTGCCTTCATCATTCGGGATTTTTTTTTTTTTTTAATTTTATATGTAAGAAAGTATTTAAGCATATAGCAAGATTTGTAGATTCACTCATGTAAATATAGCTGGGCATCTCTATAGGTATAATTTTATATTAAATTCGTCGCTTTTTTCCCATCTCCGAAGCCATCATACTTTCTGTGGCCACGGTAAATGAGTATAGTTAGATTACCATTAGTTAACAAATGGACAAGTGGGAGCTTAGGAATAAACTTCTTGAGTTAAACTGGGTTTTCGTTTAAGCATGGTGCAACACTAGTGAAAGCACTTTTCGCACATGACTGCAATATGTGCTGAGATCCTGCACAGTCTACAACAGTATGAAATGCCGATTTGACTAGACGGTTTTAGGTGGTTGTGTACTATTCATTTTGGTCAGGCCCACGTTGCCGGGGACGATGCTGTAAATTAACCTTCGTTCTATTGTCTCTCCCAAAATAAAGTGCCTTTGGCGAACGTGTACGTAGCACTTTCGCATAAAATTCCTCGGCAAATGGAAGTTTCATCTTGTGGAAGACCGTTTTTTTTTATTGATATGCTATTTATTTTTGCTAAAACACCATTGCAGAACGGGGGACTAAAACTCGAATGCCATTCACAATGAATGACATTTGTGTGATCGGCGAATCAGCTCGCAATCTGTCGCGCGTAGAGTCCGCCACGCCCGGAGTGTCGCGCGCTGATTGGCCGTCCGCTCAAATGTCATCCGTTGTAAATGGCATTCGAGTTGCCCGTGTGGCACGGGTATTACTTTCCGTTGGCTAAATGAATGGACAACGCAATACACCTAATCTGACCACGGGTTCGGCGCAGGCGTGACGCCGTCAAAACTTTGGTTCACAGGAGGCAGGCGGCAGCACCGTGGGCGTGCAGTGCACAAGACGGCGCGTGCCGATCTCAGTAAGAACTTTCACTAGTCAGTTTAGAAACGCCACAAATGACACATGCATCGAGGAAACTTTCGTCTTTCTGCACGTGCGACAACCTCGCTGCAGCTTTGCGCGTGCAGGGCACGAGACGGCACAAGCACACCTGCCTGCCTCCTGTGAACCAAACCATAGCCTCCTTTAGCGTGCCTTCATGTGCGCCTTGCTTAGGGTGGTGGCATCTTGCCATTTTGTCCCACACGCTTGTTTTTATTTTTTTGTTCAGATGCACGTGAGAGAGCGTGTCCCTGCACGTGTTTGTGGCGCTAACTGTGCTATGGCGACATTTTGTTTTCGCCGATTTGTTTGTATTTTTTCCGTGAGTGCCTGCTGTCGACATCGGGTGCTACAAAGGATGGCATCACCCTAAACAGAAGGACATTGAGGCACCCTATACTCCGCGACATATTTTCTTGGCAATGCAGTGGAAGGTACAGGCCCGCGTCCCCTCTCCCATTTTGAGTGTGCGCGGGCTCTCCTCCTTTCCCTGGAAATGGGGAGAGGAGGAGAGCCTGCGTACACTCAAAATGGGAGAAGGAACGCGGGCCTGTACCTTCCACTGCATTACCAAGAAAAGTTGTCGCGGAGTATAGCCTCCTTTATACTCGCAAAACCTGGCAGTGCGACGACGGAGCCATAGAGTGCCCGGTCGCAGATTTGGAGCGCGAAGATCTGGTAGCACAAAGTATTTCTCGGGGAACCTGGACGTCAGCGCACAGCTTTTGCGGTGGCGAGGACCCGAAACATGGATTTTGGGGTGTTTTTACAAGAAAAACGGGTTACAGAAATCAGCCCGGCTGGAACACGGCTGCATGCTATCGCTCGGGTCAAGCACTCCACGCGACAGTCTCGCGCGCACGCTGCACATCATGGCACGAGCTACTGCAACACAAATAACATTTCTTCTGGCGTAATTAAAGAAACCAAAGGCAAAACAGCCCTGATCACACTGTCGAAACGTTGTGCGTCGTATCTGTCTGGAGGACGACGATGTATTGTGGGGTAGCGCTGTTGCGCAGCGTTATTGTCGGTTGCCGTCTGTGGGGTGGTTGCAAACTCACTGACCCCAGGCTCGTCAACGCAGTTTTCTGGATCCCTCAGGTCGGGCAGGAATTTGTCTGTTGTGCCTTGCATCGCGATGGTGAAGCATCTGGTCATGGTGATGGCGCCAGATATATGTGCCCCGAGCCGTTGTGACTCGAACTTGGAACGACACTGGCCCAAATTGCTTCAGAATAGTTCCGGGAGCCCATTTTTCGGAGCCTCCATAGTTCCTCACGAGAACATCGTCGTTCACACTACAAATCCTTGTTCGTGCCTTTCACCGCGAGGTCTGGACGAACTGACTGTTGATGTCCTACTCTTCCCCTAACGGAAGGCTTGATGGCATCGAGTCGTGTGCGAATTCGACTGTCTAAGAAGAAACTGGCGGGTGTTTCTTTTCTCGTGTGAGGGATATTGCAGTAGTTCAG